CTGCTGCTCCTGGCACCATTGAGATGGTCTCTTCTTGCACCCTGTAAACAGGGTTGTGCCCCCCCAACCCCTCTGATCTTGGGGGAGGAGGCCTCCTTTAGCCCTTTGGGCTCTGTGGCAGCCGTGATGGGAGGCTGGAGTCACGGCCTTTGTGTCCCCAGACACGGGGCTGCTTTGAGCCCTGATTGAGACCACCTGAGGCACCCGTCAGCTGGCATTCAGGGCTTTACAGGTTTTCCCTGGGCTTCATGCCCCATAGCCAGCTGTGTGCAGGTAGCACCGCCCTGTAAGCAGGGTTGCCGGTGTCGGGTCACCTTCATGGTGCCATCCTAGCACTTCTGTCCGGAGTCCTGGCCCGTCGCACTCTGCTCCTGGCTGGCCCAGATGTCAGCAGCCGAGCCCGCAGACGGCTGCCCCCCCCACCTTCTGCGGGCGGACAGAGGACAGCGGCCACAGGTCCAGGTAAGGGTAAAAGAGGGAGAGAAATTGGGGCCTGCAGACCCATCTTCCATCGCGCTGACTTACTTCCCGTTTCTGTCTTGTCCTTTTTGCCTCCAGAGGAAGAAGCAGAGAAGACAACAGACAAATAGGAGTTAACCTATAACCAGGACAGAAAACGACAAAGGTGAGGGAGTTTGGGTAAAGACTTGGGGTATGTGAGCTGTGGAAGGCTTGGAGTGCCAGGACGTCCTGGGTCTGTTGGCTTCTAAGCAAGGCACAGGTCTCCTGCCCTGCTTTCTCCAAATCTTAGGCTACTCCACGCGGTTGGGCATAGGGGTTATCTAGGGATTACAGGGAGGCTGCAGAGTCCTGGAGGAGCACGAGCGCTCTGGACCCCTTCCCGTCAGGGCTGAAAAGGGAGACGTTGCAGCCACTTGGCAAGCGCTTAGGCTTGTTGGCTTACACCCAGTCTCCATCTTTGTTCTTCCAGTCCTCGAAAGCCGAGCGGCAAACGGCCGAGGTGGGAGGTAGCCAGCCAGGGAAAAGGGTGTGAAGGAAAGGGACTCTGGACACAGTGACTGCCCTGCCCTTAGGTTTTGGTCACGTAAGAGCCAAAATGTGGCCGAGGGAGCCTTGGAGCAGTGGGACCTCCCTATAAGCAGGAAGCAGGTCTCGGCTCTGGAGGTTGTTGCTCTTGCAGAGCTGTCAGGTGACAGGCAGACCTCCATGTAAGCAGGAGGCTGCTTTCCTTGTCCCCTCTTTGATTCTGAGGCTTCTTCACCTGGTGGCAGTGACCACACAGTGTGGCTGCCCTGTAACCAGGGCCCAGGGCCGCAGCTGACTATTGATGGGAGTAGCCACCTTGTTAAAAGGGTGTCTGCTGCTTCCTGCCCAGAGGTGAGACTGAGCTGTGCGGCGCCTTGTATGTTGTAGCAGCCCCATAACAGTAAGTGTGTGAGAGCCTTGCCGTAGCTGTCTGGTGGGGGAGAGACCCTCCTGTAAGCAGGGTAAATGTCTCTTTCCCCTCATTTCAGAGAACGCTGGTTCCTTGAGGGCTGTGACCTGCCTGTAACTTGGGCTCAGGTCTCCAGACTCCTCTTTTGTGCTGCCCCTGAGCTTTTCAGAAGCTCCTGCAGCCTTCGCTTTTCCCCCGCTGTAATCAGGGGGTTGGTCACCCCCCGACCTCGGTTTGGGGGCTGAGGCCTCGTTTAGTCCTCTGGGCATTGTGGCTTCTGCCCTTTCAGCCTCCAGGCACAGGGCAGCTTTGAGACTGCCTGAGGCACCCGTCAGCTGGCATTCAGGGCTTTGCAGGTTTTCTCCGGGCTTCATGCCCCACAGCCAGCTGTGTGCAGGGAGCATCGCCCTGCAAGCAGGGTTGCTGGTGCTTGTGGTCACCGTTCATAGTGCCACCTTAGCACTTCTGTCCAGAGTCCTGGCCCATCGCACTCTGCTTCTGGCTGGCCCAGATGTCAGCAGCCGAGCCCGCAGACGTCTGCCTTCCCCCATCTCCACAGATAGAGCACAGACTGGCAGCAGATTCAGGTACAGTTTAAAGGGGGAGAGAAGTTGCAGCCCATAGACTTTTCATTCAACATGGTGAGTTAAATGTAGTATCTGTCTCTCTCTGTTATAGGCCCTGATAGGAGAAGCCGGAAAGATGGCGCACAAGCAGGAGTCAGCTGACAAGGAGGGAAGAGAACTATGCAAAGGTAAGGGAGTTTTGACGTGATGCCTTTTATTTATTTATTTATTTATTTTTGGTCCTACTGCCAAGCCGTAGCCCTTGGGATCGGGGGCCTTGGAAGTCTGGCTTGGTGGCACCTTTGAGGATAAGTTTTAGGTGGAGTACTGAGGATCTTGTAAACCAGAGGCATGTCATGTCCGCTTTGTTTTTACAAGGCAGCAAGCTCTTTAGGACACTGGGCGTTGTGAGCTTGCTGTCACTTGGGCTCGGTCTGGCAGCCGCAAGCAGGCAGTCGTTCCTTCCCCCACTCACTGCTGTTACCTGGGGTTTGGTTACATCCCCAACTTGAATGCAGGTGTTTTGAACCTCTTTTTGGTCCTCTGAGGGGTTTGACTTTGCTGTCAGGGAAGTTCAGTTTCTGCCCATTGTCCTCCACATGTGCGGATGCTTGTTTCCTTGAACCGCACCGCCTGAGCAACCAGTGTTTGTTTGGCCTTGTGCCATAGCAGCTGGTGTTTGCGGGGGGGCACCATCCTGTAAGTAGGATTCCTGGTGCCTTGTGCTGCCATATCTTGTGATGTATGAGTTGGGCCTGTAGGCTTGTGGCCCATGGCTTTCCATTTCCAGCTGACCCAGTCTTTGGGAGCTGAACAAAGAGATTCCTGCTTGCCCCGCTGTCCAACAGAAGACAGATCAACGGGTGGCAGGGAAGGACGAAACAGATGTTACAACTCCCTGTCTCAGTCTCTGGCCCCATGCCTTACACCCAGACTGTGTCTCTGTTTCTTTGTCGGTGGGTGGATCCTTATTTCTTTTCTTTTTCCTTTTTGCAGCTGTCAGACGGACAAGCAGCGGGCGAACCACACCAGCGTGAAAAGCCAGGAAAACGGGATGCGAAGGAAAGGGACTCTGGACAGAGTGATCTCCCTGCCTTTAAGTATCAGTCATGTATTACCCAGTTTTGACTGCATGAGCTCTCTGTAACTAAGACATGAGTTTGTGCCTTTGATGCTGTTGCACTTCTGTGGCAGTCGGGTGGAAGCGGACAACCCTGTAAGCAAGGCGTGTGTCACCGCCACCTCGTTCGTAAAGGGTGTGGATCTAGTTGGTGGTCTTGTGCAGCGGGGCCGCCCTGTAAGCAGGGCCCAGGCCAGCTGCCAGACATGACTGCCAGGGGCGCAGCCTCCTGTAAGCAGGTGCATGCTGCGTCTTACTGCATAAGAATGACAGGCAGTTTGAATGTTCCTAGCGCTAGACGTCCTGTAATTGGGAGTCAAAGTCCACTGCTGTTCCCGGCCAGTTGGAGAGGAGCCCCTGTAAGCAGGGTGGACGTAGCCTCCCTCCACTGGCGTAGACAGCCAGAGCAGTCTGCAGCGTTGTGCTGCAGGACGGCCTTGCAGACCGGAGCCGAGTCTCGTGGGGTGGCAGCCAACTCTTTAGACCCCAGATCTTGACCTTCCCATGGTCTGGGTTGAAGCCTGTGGCCTCCTCTCCAATCCCTGTGTCCAGGCACCTGTCCTTTTTCATACTTCTGTGCCTGGCACGCCACATCTAGACAGCTGGGCCACCCTGTAAGGAGGATGCAAGTCCCACGTCTCTTGGTGCAGGGCTAGATTGCGCAGAGCTGTGGACCACCCTGTAAGCAGGGTCCAGGTCTCAATGTGCCTTTGAGGGCAGCTCTGGGCCTTTCCCTTTTGCCCCCTTTGGGCAGTCTGACTAGTCAGACGGACCGTGCCCTGTAACGAGGGTGCGAGTCCCGTGCCCCTGGTGCAGGCCTAGATTG